TAAAATAGTGACCGAAATAGTGACCAACTGGAATCGGTCATTGATTTTAGTGACCGATTCGATGACCGAATCGATGATCGAATATATATAATCAAATCGGTCATCTGATTCAGATCACTAAATCAATGAAACAAAATAACAAATTTAATTATTTTTATTTATTTACATTTTTATTATATCTATTATTTATTTTCCCTATCTCTTAATTATATTATATTTTTTAGAAGTTTAACTTATTATTAGGTGGTTTATTGTCATTGTCAGGATTCGAACCGGTACCTTAGAGTTGGAGGTTGAAACTCCAACCATTGAGCTACTAGGATCTTTTAATAATAACTTACAAATAAATTATATTTATATACAAATAAATGTATATCCGTATAAATATATAAATATAAAATCTATAAATAAAAATATATTTATATATTTTAATATATATTTAAATATTGATATATTTATATATTGATATATTTATATCTTTATATTTTTACATATATTTATATATTTATATATTTATATCTTCATATTTTTACATATATTTATATGTTTTCATATTTATATATAAAGATATTAGTTTTCTATACAAATAATATTATAATATAGTATATTATACTATTAGTATAGTATACAAATAATATATTAGTATAGTATAGTATAGTATACAAATTATTAATTTTGTAATTTATATACAATGAAAATAATATAATGGTATATTAGTATAGCATAGTATATTTGTATTCTAATTTTTAATTAAATTAAAATTATGCTAATAATGTATATTAATATATGAGGGGATAATATATTTATATATTTATATATTTATATATTTATATATTTATATATTTATATATTTATATATTGATATATTTATATATTAATATATTTATATATTTATATATTTATATATTTATATATTTATATATTTATATTTTTATATATTTATATTTTTATATATTTATATTTTGATATATTTATATATTTATATATTTATATATTTATTTATATCCTTATACATTTATATCTTTATATATTTATATATTTGAAAAAAAATATTAAATTTTAAAAATAATATTATATTTTTAAAAATAAATATAAGAAAAAGATTTAAAAATATATATAAATTATATTTACATTTACAAAATATTAAAGATATATGTTTATATCTTTACATATTTATATATATTTATATATTTATATGTTTATATTTACTTCTAATAGCGGTTGCACCATCGCTCGAGCGAGATTAGAGTCGCTCAAGCGAAATACAACCCGAGAATGCCAATTTTGTGCGAGGGCGTTTCGCTCGAGCGAGACCATTGGTCGCTCAAGCGAGATACTGGTTTACATAGCGGTTACACAGGAACCGCTCTTAAAAGCTCACTTAGATAGCGGTTAACCCTTGAACCGCTATTATATGGTTTCCATTATGATCGGTCAGAATGCAATTATGATCGATCAGAACTCTTTAATCGATTAAATCTCATTTCAATCGATTAAAACAATTTATGCACAAGCGTTTTAATCGATTAAAACTTATTTTTATCGGTTAAAATAACTTGAAAAGTTTTACAAGAAACTTATATTTATATATTTATATTTTTATATATTTATATTTTGATATATTTATATATTTATTTATATCCTTATACTATCATGCTCTTTATACATTTTGATATCATTATATTATCATGCTCATTATATCAAAATGTTAAATACTTTTAAATATTAAAATTAACTTTATAAAAAATTAGGAAAAAAAATTAATCCAAAAGAGTTCAAAAATGTATTATAATATTGTCAATTTTGAGTTTAATTATATTGTTCATTCTCAAAGTAGAAAAATATAATTTAAAATTTTAATACTAAAATTAAAAGATTAAATAATAATAAATTTAATTCTTTAAATTCAATTGCTAGAAACTAAAATTATAGTTTATCTGTTTGAAATAATTAAAATAAATATTTAAAAATAAAAATCAAAACTAGTATTATCTTAAATTTATTAAAAGTGTAATTCAAACTTCTCAATTCTACATTTTTGTAAGTTCTATGATTATATTATCATCCTCATCTCCTCCCATGTTTTACTTTATCTTTACAATAGTCAATATTCTTAACTAATTTATAGTTTTAATTATAATTTTTTAGTATATATTTCAGAAATTAATCAATTCTAATCTATTATTTGAAAAACTAATCAATTCTAATCAATAATTTAGAAAACTAATCGATTATAATTAATTATTTGAAAAAATTATCAAATATGATCGATCATTTCGAAAATATAATCGATCAGAATCAAACATCGCTCGGGCGAGACTAGACTCGCTCAAGCAAAACACAACCCGAGAGTACTAATTTTGTGCAGGGGCGTTTCGCTCGAACGAGAACATCGTCGCTCAAGCGAGATACAGTTAAGATAGCGGTTACACAGGAACCGCTCTTAAAAGATCACTTAGATAGCGGTTAACCCTTGAACAGCTATTATATGGTTTCCATTATGATCGGTCAGAATGCAATTATGACCGATCATAATGAAAACTTACATTAACTATTTTTTTTATATTATGTTTTTAAATTTTCTATTAGAGAAAACCTTTCAGAATTCAAAATGTTAAATACTTTTAAATATTAAAATTAACTTTATCAAAAATTTGGGAAAAAAAATTAATGAAAAAAGAGTTCAAAAATGTATTATAATATTGTCAATTTTGGGTTTAATATATTGTTCATTCTCAAAGTAGAAAAATATATTGTAATTATTTTAATTTAATAAAATATAATTTAAAATTTTAATACTAAAATTAAAAGATTAAATAATAATAAATTTAATTCTTTAAATTCAAGTAGCTAGAAAGTAAAATTATAGTTTCTCTGTTTTAAATAATTAAAATAAATATTTAAAAATAAAAATCAAAACTAGTATTATCTAAAATTTATTAAAAGTGTAATTAAATATCTATTTTCTTAATTTTATTTGTTTCAAACTTCTCAATTCTACATTTTTGTAAGTTCTATCATTATATTATCATCCTCATCTCCTCCCATGTTCTACTTTATCTTTACAATACTCAATATTCTTAACTAATTTATAGTTTTAATTATAATTTTTTAGTATATATTTCAGAAATTAATCAATTCTAATCTATTATTTGAAAAATTAATCAATTCTAATCAATAATTTAGAAAACTAATCGATTATAATTAATTATTTGAAAAAATTATCAAATATGATCGATCATTTCGAAAATCTAATCGATCAGAATCAAATATCGCTCGAGCGAGACTAGACTCGCTCAAGCGAAATACAACCCGAGAGTACTAATTTTGTGCAGGGGCGTTTCGCTCGAGCGAGAACGTTGTCGCTCAAGCGAGATACGGTTTAGATAAGCGGTTACACAGAACCGCTCTTAAAATCTCAATTAGATAGCGGTTAACCCTTGAACCGCTATTATATGGTTTCAATTATGATCGATCAGAATGCAATTATGACCGATCATAAATATTTTAATCGATTAAATCTCGTTTCAATCGATTAAAACAATTTCACGCACAAGCGTTTTAATCGATTAAAACTTATTTTTATCAGCTTAAAATAACTTGAAAAGTTTTAGGAGAAAGTTTTGCGAGTATTTCAATCGATTGAATCGCTGAAACAATCGATTAAATTAACTTAGAAGATTTTTTGTAAAGTGTTTTAATTGATATAAACGTTGTCAGTATCGGTTAAAACAAACCTGTTAAAGAATCAAGAACGTATTAATGGATTAAAAGAAGTTTTAACAGATTAAAATTGCACTTTTAACATATTAAAAGAATCTTTTAACAGATTAATTAAACCAGATAGTTTTGAAAATTTTCTATAAAAACAGTTTGGCTTGAACTTTTTAAACATACATTGAATATATAATCTTTAAAAAATAAATAAATTTATATATATATATATATATATATATATATATATATATATATATTTGCATTTTAATTTTCAAATATTAATTTTTTATGAAATTAATTTTAATTAAAAAAATTAAAGTGATACATATATATATATATATATATATATATATATATATATATATATATCCAACTATTAAATTATTCAAGATATTAATATAAATTTAAAATATCAATTCAGTAATTAAAATAATTTTAATTTTTTATAAATACATTGAAATACATTTTTATTGACATACAAGTAATATATATATATATATATATATATATATATATATATATATATATATAAAGAGACTAAATTAATAATTAATTTAATTATTGATTTAGTGACCGATTCGATGACCGAATCAGTGACCAGATCGGTGACCGAATCGAGTGATCGATTCGATGACCGAATCGATGTGACTGATTCGATGACCGAATCGATGACCGATTCTGTGACTAATTTAATAATCAATTTTAATTTTTTTATTCACATGCTAAATTAAAAAATAAAATCAAATAATTATATTACTAAATTATTTAATAAGTTAGTAAACAATTTTTTTAAATATTTATAATGTTATTAAAAATGTTATCAATTATTTTAAATTATTAAGTAAATTTATATTTAAAATATTTTAAATAAAATATTTATATAAATGAAAAATAGTTATCAGTTTAAAAATTATTTTTTTAGTGACTGAAATTTTAGTCACTAAATCAGTTACTAAATATAAAAAAAATTAGTAACAAAAATAATTACATAAATTAAATATAGATTAATTAAAAAAATTAATTAAATAATAAAGTGATCGAAATAAGTAACCGATTTTATGTGACCGAAAATTCGGTTACTATTTTGGTTACTTAGACTAAAAAATAATAATTTAGTTACTGATTCGGTCACTGATAGTAACGAAATTTTTTTGTCACTGATTTCGGTTACTATTTGACATTTTTCTAGTAGTGGATGACTTAGGGCGCGATGATGGTGGCCGGGTGATGGGCGCTGGTTAGTGGTGGTCAATGTAGGGAGCTGGGAAGGCTAGAGTGGAGCCATGGCTATACAATGGTCGGGGAAGCGGGTGGAGATCAGCAGCGGTGCGCACAGTGAGCGTGGTGGGGAGAAGGTGGACGGGGGCTGCGTCGCGCGAATTTAGGGGTTTTAGTGGTGCGCGACAGCTTGAGCTGGAGGATGGCTTGCGGTGATGACTAGAGGTGTTGACGACAGAGGTTAGTGGCGCGACTAAAGCCCGTGGTGGTTGACTGCGCGGTGAGTGAACTCGAGTTGATGATGTGTATGGGCTGCGATGGGGGTGGTACGGCCGAGACCCATGGTGGCTGGCGTGGTGAGGAAATGGACAGGGGTTACGCCGCTCGGATCTAGGGTCGTGCGGTAGTGGTCACGGTGATGGGTGCGGGTTAGTTGAAGAAGATGGAAATGGTGATTGGGAGATGAGGAAGAAGATGCGTAGGGGGGGCGGCTCTCGCAGTGGCCACGCGGTGACTTTGGGCATGGAAATGGAGGCTGCTGGAGAGTGGAGACCATGGCCGAGAAGAAAAACAAGGGTGCGTGTGAGATGGGTCGCAATAGGGAGTAGCTAGTCGGGAGTTGAATGCAGGGGAAGTGAATGTTAATGGTGAATGGGGATGGTCAAGTGGGGTGTGGCGTGGAGCTTGTGCGAGTGAGGGGTTGCCATGCAGGAAAAAAAAGTGAGGCCCTGAGAGTGAGAGCTTCAGTCCAGGTTAAAAAATTGTGTGTGCTCCCCCTTTATACCTAAAATTTAGGTTAAAAAAAATAGGTCACTCACCGTAAGATGGATTGGACCTTGAAAATCCTTTTTCTCTCTTTTTTTTAATTTCAAATTTAATTTAAAGTAATAAATTATTTTTAATTTTAATTTTCTTTCTCTTTTAAAGAAATTATTTTAATTATTATTTTTCATTTTTTTCTTTCTTTTCATTATTTTTTTTATAAATGTTGTTACCTATTTATTTGTATCTATCTGGATGAAATTGGATGTTGACAACTCTAAATATGCTTAAAATTTGTATTATATTATATTGTGTATTTTGAATATGCACTAATGAAAAAGAGCCTAAAACAGATCGCTCTTTAAAAACAAACTCAAGATTCAACGATGTTTAATATTATAACGGTCGTCGTATGCATGTTTGACGTAAGATTTTGATGACGAATATGGTCGCATTCTCATTATATGTAAAAAAGTATCATGATAGTTATTTCTAAATAATTATGGTTGTATATCATATACAACAATCGATTTTTGTGAATAATCATTGTTGTATGAGACATACAACAATGGGTACAACTTTGACATTATATCTCTTACCTATAATGATGGGTCCTAGCATAGTAAGCCAATTTAATCATTGTTCATGGTCATTGTTACAGTAGTTAGTACTTTATGTATCTTTTTTTTTATTAAAATTGAAGTCAATTTTGTTTTTAGAATATCAATCAAGGTAATACGTGAACATCTCTTGTTGAAATTAAATGAATTTGCACCTACAGAAGTTGGGTATGGTAACATTAATGAAGAGTACATGGAGAAGGTAAAGAAGAAGGTGTCCAAAGCTGAGAAGAAGATGATGGTTGAAAAGGCTAACATAGAGAAAGAAGAGGTTATTGGATGCGTTGGGTGCCATTCCTTGATAGACTATATATGGCCATGTGAAAAACCAAAGGCAAAAAAATTTGATACCAAATTTTGATTTTGAGCTATTGATAAACCTTTCTGGAAGTGACTGTGTTATTGTAGAATCGAGAAATATGATCGATTGGTAAATCGGTAAGATAGACAAAAGAAATCATTCGATGTCCAATTGGAAGCACGTAGTACATAACATTGAGAAGCACAATCGAAAATTGGGTGAAGGATAACTAAAATGCTTGTTGTCGAATGAAAAACTAAGAAACTAGAATCATATGACGTTAAAGTTAAACGCAAAGCAATGCAAAGTGTTCAATATCATCGAAGGCGAAGGGAACATGGACATCGAAACTCTGGACAAACCACAAAGAGAAGAATAAGTCAAACGCACGTATAGAAAGCGGTTCTGGGACCATGGAAGGAGTCGAGGATCGTGAGAACGTGGGAAACTGTAGAAAAAGAAACCGTCATGCACGAAAGAACGTGGTAGCAGTCTTATTAACTGTTCCTGGAAGGCTTAAAGGAGGCCCTATAAATAGAGCAAAAAAGGGAGGAGATAGGGAGCAGAAATTGGCAGAGAACAGAATCAGTAGTGAAAAAGTCTACCGGAGAAACGACGAACACCATGAAGCTTCTGGCAATCTGGATTTCCTTGCTCACTGAGTACATTTACCGCTTTCTGTATTTTCCTTGGTAATTTACTTTGATGCAATTTAAATTCAGTAATTTTATGTTTCTGTACTCTCGATTCTTAGTCATTTCAATTCAATGAAAGTTTAAGTTTCTGTATTTTCGATTTCCTGTCATTTACTTTTCTTGCAATTTCGATTTATTGCCATTTACATTTCCTGCACATTTCGATTTCCTGCCATTTATATTTGCACTATTTTCGATTCCTCGTCATTTACAATTAATGCAATTTTGGGGTTTTTGCACTTTATATTTTCTTGCAATTTAATGTTCTGTTTCTCGATTCGATACTTTACTGCTTTCAGTACTTTAAATACAAAATACCAAAAGCAGCTGTCTTGATATCTTGTGATTTTCGATCCTCATACACGTTGTCGATTGAAAGTCAGACTGCTAGCCTAAGTAAAAAGAACTTACGTGGGAGGATTTCGATTAGGACCATAACATTGTTCAGAACCGAAATCGATCGAAATTCCACCAGAAACAAATTGGCGCGCCAGGTAGGGGAGTCTTGTGTTGAGAAACACAAAATTGGTTAGTTCGAAATTGTATGAGATTAAGGAGTGGGAGAGTCATGAGTCAGAGTTCATCAAATAACCAAGGTAACAGTGAGGGATTAAATGGGTCACACCCACCAAATACTGGGGGGCAAAGTCATAATGGGAACATACCTGTAGTATCGACAACTGTGAGCATGTCGATACCTGTGAGTAGTGAACAAAATTCAGGTACATTAGCAAACACCCAAGTAGGATCTAGTACGGTGATACCAAATAATATGCAAACTATAGGAAATCCCACAACCACATATGTAGGGCCACGTATGAGTATAAGACCGCCCGGGTTTTCACTTAATAATGTGAGTGGGGCTGGAACTTCTTCAACGCATAGGAATTCGAGATATAACTTAGGAATGTCCCAAACACTAGGTATGCCACAAAATTTTGGGATCCCTCCGAATTTAGGGACATCGCAAAACTTAGTAATTCCACAGGATTCAGGGAATGGACAGAATGTAGGCACACAACAGATACCTCCAAATCTAGATCAGAGGGGATACTTAGATCATGGGAGATATGTATTCGATAGAGACTATCATCGATCTAATTTTGATTCTATCGAAAACATGGGTACCGGAATATCTAGTAATTCATTAGGGGTACTCAGACAACAAATGGATGAGAGTAATTTTGAAATGGTGAATATGTTATCACAACAATTGACTACAGTCTTAAATCCATTAGTGCAAAACACTACTGCTAGCTTTGAGATATTAGCAGACCAAATGTCACGAACCGGGGATGCATTGGCTGTGCCTCGACAAACGAGGATAGAAAATCATGCTAATCAGAATACTAATATTAATCCCCCATATCTATTGAGAAGAAATAGAAACAATGATCAACAGCAGCGTATGGGAAATGAGTATCAACATGTGAGGAATGATATTTATGGGAATTTGAACGAAGGATTTCAAAATATACACAATCAGAATAATATGTTGGGACAAAGGATGAATTTACAAGGGATGGAATTTAGACCACCCAATCAGACATATTTTGTGTCTCCCTTTCCGAATGCGATTCTCGAGACAGAATTGCCTCGAGGATATAAAGTACCCAAATTCACTAAATTTGCTGGAGAAGTTGGTGAATCGACTATCGAGCATGTGGCTCGATATCAGATCGAATGCGGGGATTTAGCGATGAGTGAAGAATTAAAAATGAAATATTTTCCTAGTTCTTTGACTAAGAGTGCTTTTACTTGGTTCACGTCATTGCCACCCAATTCGATATATAATTGGCTGCAATTGGAAAGAAATTTTCATGAGCAATTCTTTAGAGGAGAAACTCAAGTGAGTCTCATCGACTTGATGAATATAAAAAGATACAATCATGAAAGCATAGATGATTATTTGAATCGATTTAGACAAATGAAATCGAGATGTTTCACTCAAATTCCTGAATATGAATTAGTCAGAATGGCCTCTGCAGGTTTAGAATTCTCGATTAGGAAAAAACTAGTCAATTTACCATTGAATGACATGGCTCAATTAGCTGATAAAGTGAGAAGAGTGGAACAAATAGAGTATGAGAAACAAAGGTATAAGAAATATGAGAAACCTTTGAAAAAGGAAAGAATAGCATACATAAATGATGTATATGAGACAGATAATATGACAGAAAATGATATTGAAGAAACTGTCGATGAGAAAGTAAACTTAGCAGAACTCAAAGTAGGGGCTCCATATACCTGTAAATTGCTACAAAAGAATGAAGTAAAAGATAAAATGGCAAATCGAACATATACTTTTGATGTAACAAAAGCGGACAAAATCTTTGATATTTTATTGAAAGACAAACAGATTAAGTTGAGTGATGATCATAAACTGCCGTCTGCAGAACAAAGGAATGGTCGAAAATATTGCAAATTTCATAATGTTTATGGACATTGGACTAACAATTGTATACATTTCAGGAACACCATCCAAGATGCGATTGACCAAGGAAGGTTGAGGCTCGAAGAAATGACAATGAAAGTTGACACGAGTCCATTCGAGGCCCAAGTTGGATACCTCGAATCCCAAACAGGCATTACTGATGATGTCCGATTAACAAATTCGGCCTTTATAGGCATGGTAGATGTCACTGAAGACATCGATCCTAAGCACGTTAGAATGGACGTGTCTGAAGAAGATATGGAATTTGACCTGAGTGAATTCGAGAGAGAGTTCGAAAAGGAAATATACCCTCGATCAGGAGATTCTCTCATTGAATTTTTGAATAGAAAAAAGGAAAAAGACGAAGATGTGTCATTATGCCCACGTTGTAATGCAGTGTTCGATAAATCGGCTGCCAAAGCTTTCAGAACAGAACAGATGAAGAAGATCGAGAACCAAAATAAAAGGAAAAATGACAAAGTAGATCAAACAGTCCGACCAACGATCGAAGAAATTCAGCAGAAATCCGTTGGCTCTGGTGTTAGTGAAAATCGGAGGCAGTGGATTAGAAGAGAGATGTATCCTTCTCGAGGAGGAAGAGGTAGACTTCAAAGTAATGATGTTTTCGAAAGACTCTCGTATGATGATGGATCGACCACTAGATTCCCAACATTCCAAAGAAGATTCCGAGGAAGGCCCTGGAGAAGAGGAGGAAGGATCCCCTATTGGAATCATTACAGAAACTTTGAAGAAAATGTTGCACCGATAGAGAGTCATTATGCAAGAGAATTTTTCGATGACAAGAATGATGATACTTGGGACGAACATCAAATCGGGGTAATATCAATTTTACCTGCGGAATATGTGAGCGAATACAAAGAATACCAAGAAAAAAGAGATGCCGAGCGAGAAGATGACTTCTATTCAGAAAACATAAGGCCAAAAATAACATGGGTCACACAAACCTCATGTGAAGTTCCTCATAGAGACGCTGCTTTCATCGATCCCCCATCTGAGGAAATGAGGTTCCACTTGAAACCATTATTACTGAACATCGAGATCCAAGGACAGATGGTGAATAGAGTCCTTGTCGATGGTGGAGCAGCAGTGAATATACTGCCAATTACTATGCTAAAGAAATTTGGCATTGAACTAAAAGACTTAGTCAAGCACAATATTATGATTTCCGATTTCAGCGGAAAGACGTCAAGTTCAGAAGGTATGATTGCCTTAGACGTGAAAGTGGGCACTTACTCGAGACCTACTATGTTTGTTGTGGTCCAGCCGCATGCCAATTTCAATGCATTACTTGGCAGAGAGTGGATTCATGGAGTAGGAGTTGTGCCTTCGACAGCTCATCAAAAATTATTTATGTGGAATCGAGATGGACATCTCGAAGTAATCCCTGGAGATCAGCACGAATTTGTAACATTCGTATCTCAGGCTGGTCGAGCACTCGTAGAATCCGGCGCTTGCTCAACCATTCACCTTCGAAACAGATCAAAGATTTTAATTCAAAACTGCATGAGGAGCGTTTCCTAGAGATGAATGAGAAGAAAGGATTCATCATGATCAAAGAGGGGGCCAACCTCGAAGTGGCCGGTGAAGATGAATAGAGAATACGAAGAGTTCTTGGCTCGATTGGGAAAATATGAAGATGGGAAGAAGAGCCAAGAAAGTAGTAGTAGTAGTAAAATAGGGATAAATAAGTCGATTCACTCGACCGTAGTTGCAAATAATAGCAATCAAGTTATACTTGATTGTATTTATGATTATTCTCCTTTAGGTTTCGAAAAATCTATTACATCAAATTATAAAAAAGTCGAGGCTCAAGATCCATTAGAAGAAGTTAACTTAGGAAGTGAAGAGGAACAGAAACCCACGTATATCAGCAAGTATCTCGAGGAAGAATTAAAGAGGGACATGATTTC